ACCACTCGGGTACCACCATTCTTGTCGCCACCAACTGGTTTTGTGACAGTAGCAAGGACGTTCTCCTTCTTTTTCTTTTCAATCCTGGATTTAGGGGCGGAATACTTCCTCTTGTACATGGCCTTTCGAGAATACATAGCCGACCTGGAGTATCTGCCGATTCCTCTGACGAGGACGGGGTTTCGGCTGCAGTGCGGCTTCCCCTTCTTAGGGGCCTTAACCTTGCCGCCGGCATCAGCCTTCTTCTTGGCTTCAGGTTTCTTCTCCTTAGTGTCTGGCTTCTTCTCCTTAGTATCCGGCTTCTCGGTTTTCTTTTCACCCGCCATCTTGCAAGATGGGAAAGAGCCGGGGTTTGATTTTGGTCAAGGGCATATGCCTGGTTGTGGACTTGATCCCCAGTAGGGGACGTGCAGAAGGCAGCCTACCAGTGATTCTCTCTCATCATTGATGTTTCTCTCTCTCTCTCTCTCTCTCTCTCTCTCTCTCTCTCTCTCTCTCTCTCTCTCTCTCTCTCTGTCTCTCTCTCCCTTCCTCTCTGAAATCAATAAAAATATTTTAAAAGTATCTCAATTTTTATATTTATTATATGTTGAAATTATGGTTTGGTGTATGGCGTTATATAATTGAGGAAATTAAACTATATTAATTTCATCTATTTACTTTTGTTAATGTGATTGATAGAACATTGAAAATTATGTGGCTTTCATTACACTTCTATTGGGCATTGCTGCTCTAGATAATTGAACAGTCATGAGGTCTCCATCTCTAGTATGAATATGTGCAATGATGGTGGTGCAACACCAAATATAGATACCCCAGAAGATATTAAGCATTACAGTTTTAATGAAAAACCTCAGAAAGGTTTATCTAATAAATAGATATTTTTCCTTATATGACACCTTGCCTTGAGAGTACTACATATTATCTAGTATACTTATATTATACTCTGGAAGCAAATATTCTTAAACAAACATTGATAATGTTCACTATTTTTTCTTGTTATTTTTTTAAAAAAATCTTTTACTGTTAAGCATTTATAGCTGTGTTAATTGTATAAAATAATAATTTTCTCATCTACAAAATGAGGACAATACAAGCTAGTACACAGGTATGTTGTATTCAGTGAGATAAGTGGATGTGTACTGTGAATGCATTGGGATATAACCTGAGAGGCACTGTTAGACATTCCAGTAGAGAGGAAGATGACCAGGTTCTTATCTCTCTCAGAGTGAGAATGATAAATATGTGTTACAGCAACTGGACTTCAAGGCAAGGTGACTCAGACACCGCCATGAGGTACGAGATTTAAATGATGTGAGAAAAGTGGAAAGCAAGGTTGATTCCACCTGGGCAGTCGCATTTGAACAGAGTGTCAATGGACAAGGGCATCGGGATGGAGTGGGCAGACAGGGATTTCAGATTTTGGATGGAAGGAAATGTATGAATGAAAGCAGGAAAGTTTCAATATGTATTTGAGTTTCCTTTGGTTTAAATATTCATGGATTTTAATACGTTACAACTGGCTCATGTTGCCTCATGGTACCTCAGTGGAGCATCTGCCAGCCATGCAGTTCCTTGCATATGGGGATGGTCATACTCCTCTTGGTATATCCAGAGGGCAGCACAGAACCTGGCAAAGGCAGGTGCCCCAAGTGGTGAATAGATGAATGCAGCATTTATTTTTATTTTTATTTAAAAATATATTTTATAGATTTTTTACAGAGAGGAAGTGAGAGGGATAGAGAGTTAGAAACATCAATGAGAGGGAAACATCAATCAGCCCGATGCTCTATCCACTGAGCCAAACTGGTTAAGGCTGAATGCAACATTTACAATGTGATGTTTCATGTTCTTATTTTTTTTTAATTCAAAATACGGTGTTTGAATTTCTAGATCTTTATCATATACTTACAGATAGACTTGCTGATAGTTGTGCACTGAGGTTGTGTGAGTGTTAGGTTGTTATTCTCCCGTGAAGAGCTGATCTGAAGCCATGGAGCTTTATTTACCTGCTGTTCCTGAGGGCTGGCCCTTACTCCACCTCCCAGGGACCATTAGCTCCTGCAGGTATTCAACACGGCTCCCCGTGGAGCTCCCTTCCATGGAGGATGTAGCTGGCTCCACTCCTTCCTCCAGAAAATAAATGATGCCTTGCCTGCCAACTGCTGGCTACCTGGAATGGAACATGACTTTGCAGGGGAGAGAACACAATGGAAAAGGAGCATACCTACAGGAAATCTAGCTGCTCTGCAGTGAAGCATGTGGAAAATGGAAAGAAAGGAAGCAGCTTACAAACTAGAATTTCATTTTGCGTGAGATTTCCTATTTGGGTCTCTCCCTCTTCCCCCAGCTCTGTTATATTATTAGTATGTTTTAATGTTTTATTTCCTGTCTACCTGGTAATGTGCTTTTATATTACTGGTGCTTTGGATCCACTATGAATACCAGGAACAGATCCACGGGACAAGAACAAGGAGAAAAACTAGGTTTATTTCCTTATTCACTTCTCATCCTTTTGAGAAAGGAAGTCAGGAAAAGCTGCTTTCTATGCATACTCCTTTCACCCTCCACCCATTATTAATGATTTTTGTTAGTGGACTAATTAAACCATTGATTTACCATTAAAATAAGAAATATGAGCCATTCTTGTCTTGAATGACTTTTTTTCCATTCTTGTCTTGAATGAATTTTTACAGTAGGGAACATTTGCAAAAACGTACTAACTTTGAAGTCAAATATATGAGAACAGAAAGGGTTAAATTTAAAGGCCAACCAGTTAGCACAGCACATAGATGTGGATGAACAGGGGAAAGGGCAGGGGCAGTAGTTTTCCTTGAAGGCTTTTATTTGGTACCTCTGTCCTCATCACTAGCTTCTTTCACACATCCCTGAGGTTTGGTCAGAGCTGTGCAGACCACGCTGGACTTTTAATTGTATAGCAGGGAGAGCTGTTTCTATTCAGATACATTTTGATGTGGCTTAAAAAGCCTTTTAATAAGTAGTAATTATACCATTTCTGAGATTCACGGATATGTTAAGACTCAAGGTTCCAATGGGAATTGGGAATGGTGTGAAACTTAGAAATATAGGGAGAAGGTGGGAGCAAGGCTCAGGGATGAAAGGACTGACAATATTTGTGGCAAGTATTACTTAAAAAAGTTAAGCCCTGCCCTAACAGGTTTGGCTCAGTGGATAGAGCGTCAGCCTGTGGACCGAAGGGTCCCAGGTTCGATTCCGGTCAAGGGCATGTACCTTGGTTGTGGTCACATCCCTAATAGGGAGTGTGCAGGAGGCAGCTGAATCGGTGTTTCTCTCTCATTGATGTTTCTAACTCTCTATCCCTCTCCTTTCCTCTCTGTAAAAAAATCAATAAAATATATATTTAAAAAAAGTGAAGCCCTGGCCAGTATGGTTCATTGGGTTGAGCATCATCTCATGTATCAGGAGGTTGCCAGTTCGATTTAGAGTTAGGGCACATGCCCAGGTTGTGGGCTCCTTCCCTGGTGGGGGGCGTGCTGGAAGCAGCTGATCGATTCATGTTGTGCTCACATTGATGTATCTTTCCCTCTGTCCGTCTCCCTCTCTAAAAATTAAAAACATTTTTTCATTTAGCCATTTTGGTACAAAACTGTTCTGTTAAAATGTCCTTCTTCGGTTTGGTACATTGAAGGTACTCAATGAATGATGGTTAAACCTTATTTCTAAACCAAGGCCAATCCTCCTTTTCCTCTTCCATAGTTTTGTATGTGGGCCCACAAATTACCCAAAGGATGGTTGACAAACTTCAGAATAGCACTGCAGATTTCAGTAAAAATAATCCTATTTTTGAAGGAAAATGAGGTCAAATAAAAAACTTGATCAACATAAGTAGTGCCTTTAAAATCTCCACACAACTTTCCAGTGTTCTATTGTAGTTTTTTATTCTGTCTTTACCATCATGTGAATTTGGCAAGCTGCATTACACTCTACAGAATTCAGTTTCCTCTTCTTTAAAATCAAGGAATTGGATTAATTTTTAAGGTCCATTTTAGACATTTTTATTTTAGCTCCTCATTCGCTAATTAAATTACTTTTATCAAGCACTGTAATGTAAAATAACATTTCCCTCATTAAATTTTTTTTACCAGTTTTTAAAAATAGTCTTGCATGTATTTTTTTAATTTTTAAATATATTTTATTGATTTTTTTTACAGAGAGGAAAGGAGAGGGATAGAGAGATAGAAACATCAATGAGAGAATCATCGATCAACTGCCTCTTGCACACCCCCTACTGGGGATATGCCCGCAACCAAGGTACATGCCCTTGACCGGAATCGAACCTGGGACCTTTCAGTCAGCAGGCCAATGCTCTATTTACTGAGCCAAACCGGTTTCGGCTTTGCATGTATTTTCATTGTGGTATAGAGAGCATGACCTGACCTTTGGGAACACAGTCTTTGATTTCAGCACTGTAAATGGGAGGTGACAGAAGATTAAACCACTTGGAAATTGGCAAGACCTGAACTGAATCCTGACTGACAAGTACTGGCTTAGTGACTTAAGGCAAATTATTTACTCTCACTAAGACTCAATTTCCTCATCTGTAATGTGGAGATAATGTATTTATAAAGTTATTATGAGTGTTAAATCAGATAATGGATGTAACTTGTCTAGCACAGAGCCTGGTTTATGGAAAACAATCAAAAGTAACTAATATTGTTGATATAACCTTATTTAAAATTGCTTTTTTAAAATTACCATTTACACTTAGTGTTATTTTGTATTAGTTTCAGGTATACAGTAGTGTAGTTAGACAATCCCATACCCTACAAAGTGTTCCCCTGAAATTCTAGCACCTGACCACGCCACTGACAATATTTCCTATCCTGTACTTTATTGATGTAACTAACCTTTTATGTCATAAATCAGGACTATTTCATTCAAATATTTATTAAATAAATGAATGACCAGAATGTTTTCCTAATGGAAACTGACCTAACGTGTTTTTTTATTTCTTGCAGATCTTATATTGCACTTTAAACACACCTAAAGTTGACATGGAAAAACTCTTAGGATCACAAATAGGTCTTGAAGATTTCATATTTGCCCACGTGAAAGGAATAAAAAAAGAAGTGAATGTGTATAAATCCGAGGATTCACTTGGTCTCACCATTACAGATAATGGTATTGGCTGTGCTTTTATAAAGGTAAGTCTTAAACATTCCCTGTGTGACCTGAGGGTAACACTTAAGAAAATCTACCAGGTTAAAGACAGTTGGAAATGAGCTTCAGGATAAGAGCCAGCTAAGAAGGGATGGATAGATTGATAAAATGTTTTAAAGATATAATTTTTTGTTTTGTTTACCCTTTCTTCGAGTTTCTTCTGTTCAGTTTAAACTTCCTCTAGAATTTACAACTTACCGAAAATCTGGCCCTAGTGCCTAATAATCCATATGAACACTCTTAGGTCTTTAGTTCACTAACATCTGATGATTTCCATGCTGATTTCCTGAGTTAGTGTGTTTCCAGGTGCACATACTTTTGGCCATCTTATTTACTTCTTTAAAAATGCTCTTCAAACTTTTCTAAATGAAAAGAGAGCATTATGGAGCTGCAAAGGCAAGAGAAGGAAGTTTGAAATGGTATGAAAAAACTCTAAGAACTGAGGAGTGACAAAAAGAGAAGTAGATCCATCCCTTAAAAATAACAGTTCTATAATTGTAATAAGTAGTTGTAAGAGCACTGACTTATCATGAACTAGGCACTTTGCATACATTTTCTCATTTAATCTATTTGGTTGGTACTATGTTTTTCATTTTATTTACTTTTTTTGTTGAGGTATAACAAATTTTTAGTGTACAGCTTAATTAATATTTATATACGTAGTGTGTAACCACCACCCAAATGAAGGAAAAGTTAGTTTCTACCACCCAGAAGGCTCCCTTCCCAAACAGTATCTTTAGCTCTTCCCCACAAAGGTAGCCACTCTTCGGACCTCTATCACCACAGTTTTGCTTGTTCTTGAACATTATATAGGTAGAATCATATATTATGTACTCTACTGTTTCTGGCTTCTTTTGTTCAACATAATGCCTGAGATTCATTCATCTATTATCAACCTCTATTTTTACTGATGTAGAAAACAGGACCAGGAGATCTAAGTAGCTTGCTCTAAGTTTTTCAGCTGGACAAATTCAGGATTTGACTTCAAGAGATCTGACTCCAGAGCTGGCCGCCCTACTACCGAGCTGAGAATGCATGATAAACTTCATGCAGCAGGGCATGCTTCCATGCCTGTACTTTGTCCGAATCCTAGGTTTGCTGATGCACTGTCATCGTTAAAAAAAAAAAAAAAAAAAAATAGTCTTAGGGAAGTTATCTTCTTAATTGTAAATAGTACCTTATTTAACTTCCAGTTTGATAGAATGGCTATTTTTAGCTCTGCAAAAGATATGACTGTGCTGAAGGTTAAGTGGGTGACCAAATGGAAAGTCTGTGAGTTGGAAAGTCATGTGGGATTATCTGGGGGGGTGAGGGGGGAGCTCAGGACATGGGGCACATGCAGCAATGCCTTTCTAATGTCAGCAGGGAAGGGCTTGGAAGTTTTGCAAACATGTGTGGATTTTTTTATATCTTAGCCTCTGATGCTCAGAGCTTTGTGTTTCTATTTTTTATTTGATGCCTTGTCAAACACGTGCTTGCCTCAGAGCTCTAGTCACTGGCCCCGAAGAGACAGAGAACATGATGGCAAAGAGAAGTGGTACATACACCAAACTGCTGACATATAGTTCAACTCAGAAGACAAAAGAGATTTATACTGTGTACACTGTTGCCGGGATTTTCTAAAAATTGAAGGGGGATAATTTCAAACTTACTGAAAGGATATAATAATAACATAAAGGACTCTTCTAAAGCCCTTTACTCAGATCTCCAGTTTCTACCATAGGCTACACTTGCTTTCTTCTTCTCTCTCTCACACATGTATTGTGTGTACAGGCACACTCATAGACATACATGTAATTTTCCCTGAACGATTTGAAAAAGTAGATTGCATATGTCTTCTCTTTATCCCTTAATACTTCAGAATGCAGTTACTTAGCACAGTGATGTTCTCTTACATATAATTATATTACAACTATGAAATTCAGGAAATCTGTCAGCGACAAATGCTTTTAAATGAATTTAATGTGTCCATTCTGCAATTTTACCAGTTATCCTAATAAATTCATCTATAGCTTCCTCCTCGGTATAGGTCCAAAATAGGATCATGGGTTTCATTTAGTTGTCATATCTTTTTTAGTTGTCTTTATTTTAGAAAAGTTCCTCAGCCTTTTATAGAACATCCCTCAATTTGGGCTTTTCTGATTTTTTCTGTGTACTATCGATACATCAGAAGGTGTGTCATGTTGGTTTGTCTTATTTATGATGTTAATTTTTGTCACTTGTCTACGTTAGTGTTTGCCAGTCTTATTCACTGCAGAGTTATATTTTCTTTTGCAATGAGTTGTAGGGAGATACTATGAGATTATGAAAATATCCTATTCTCTTACTTATACCCCACAGATTTTGCATCTATTGGTAGGTTTTGCTGGAATCAGTCTTTATTATAACGGTTGTAAAATGCCAGTTTTTCTAATTTTGTCATTCCTTACATATTTCTTTAAAACATTCTATTGAAAAAAGCACCCCACTTATTGTTTTGCTTATCTATTATCAGCACGGACAGCTGGTTTCTTATTTTATTCAGTGCGTTATACTCCATTACTATTGTTTTCTTTGATGCTCATATCCTCTGAGAGTGGCCTGCAGGAATCCCCTTCCGCTGCTCCTGTATCCTTTTGACATAGCTCCTGTCAGTTTGGTGAGCAGTTCTTTCCTTTTGGCACAAGATGTTCTAGTTTCACCTGATATGTTCTTTTCCCCAGGCCTGGAATCAACCATTTCTGTGAGGAGCTCTTATTTTTTTAGTGAGGACTAGTATTTCAAAATCAAGATTGGATACTTGTTGTACTCATTCGTTGCTGCTGGAGTGTCACTGTTTCTGGGTCCTTTCAGGGGCAGGGTTAAAAAACATGCATTTTAGAATTTATAAATTTACTAGAGGCTCGATGCATGAAATTCGTACAAGAGTAGGCCTTCACAGCCACGGCTGCCTCCATCCCTCCCTTGCAGCCCAGGCAGCTGCCTGGATACCTCCCTCACATTTGTCCTGGAAGGATAGAAGGACATCTGCTCTAATTAGGATATAATGCCTTTATTAATACAGATTATTATGCTTCCAATTATATTCCTGCCCCAAAGAGTTCTTTTGGGTTTCCCCATACTTTTCAAAATCATTGAAATATTTTCTCATTTGCTTAGTCCTACACTATACACAGAATAGTTTTAGAATTGCTATATTCATACTATGAAAAATAGACCTATTAAGAAGAGTTTAGGATTTGTGTGCATCTTTTGTCTTTAAACTAAATGGATGTATATAACCAAAGGATTCTATTCACACATTTCTGGGAATTGATTTTCTCCTGCTCCCATTGCCCCCATAATTGTTATTCATTTGAAATTCTGTTGAATCCAATTGCTTTTCTCAGTTGAGGTTGAGTTATTCCTCTCATTCTCGACTTATTTTTTTTCTTTCTGAATATGTGAAATATTAACATGATTCAAAAGTCGAAACGATGTTAAAGGATATTCAGAGATGTGTTACTTTCCCCCACCCCTCATCCCTTCTATCCCATTGCTCAGTTCTCCCACCTGGTAGAAGTAATCAATTTCATTAATTTCTGGTTCACCATTTTCGAGTTTATTTTTGCCAAGATAAGCAGGAAAAAAAAAAAGGGGGGGACTTTTCAAGAGCATGGTTGCTGTGCAAGGATGATATGTAATCTTCTCTGTATAGTTCCAGTTTTAGTGTAGGTGCTGCTGAAGTGAGTATTTGATATGCTTTTAGCAGTGGCTGGAAGTTGGGTAGTTAAAGTCAGAGTAGGAGAGTGTGGTAGGGCCTCAGACAAGGGGAAGGTCAGGAGGGAGGATTCCATGCCTAGGAAGGCAGTGCGTAGGAACATGACTTACAGTCAGACAGGCCTGCTTCTAGTCTAGGTTTAACCACTCATTAACTTGCTGTGTGACTTTGGACAAATCATTAAACCTCTCTATGCCTTCTCTGGGAATTTTAGCATCTACTTTATAGGATTATTTAAGTATAAAATGATGCACATATGAGTTGTTTTGCATACTTATAATTGATTAGAGGCCTGATGCACGAAAATTGTGTAAGAGTAGGCCTTCCTTCCCCTGGCTGCCAGCACCGGACTTCCCTTGCAGACCCGGCTTCATAGGGAAGGTCGTCCTGAAGGATATCCAGTCTAATTAGCATATTATGCTTTTATTATTATAGATAGCTATTACCTGAATAGTAGTAATAATAAAATTATCACATAATTCAGGGGTGAGATTGACGCAGATAAATATATTGAATAGTGCTCTTCAGGTGAAAAGACAACAGATTTAAACGTTTATGATTTTAGTACTGAAGTCTCAATATTTCCCAGGAAAAATTCTCTATACTTATAATAGAGTAATGTGCAAATTGGTCAGGATGCTGTCATGTAAGGACCAATCAGCAGGAGGACAGGTCAATGGCTGAGATCTACAGGAGGGTGGGACAGCAAGCTACATGCAGTGGAAGGCTATGAGTGGCGTTGGGTGCGCCGGCCAGCTGAGGCAAGTGGCAGCGAGCTACTTGTGCATGGATTTGTGCGCAAGGCCACTAGTGTGTGTGTGTGTTTGTGTGTGTGTGTGTGTGTGTGTGTGTGTGTGTGTATATATATATATATATATATATATATATATATATGTCATTCAGAAAATTTAGTATATTTAAAAAACAAAATCTTTATATTCCTATAACATTTTAAGACTGGATTTGGCAAACATTTTCTATAAAGGGCCAGATAGTAAATATTTTAGGGTTCATTATAGTTTAGGGTCACACACTCTCTGTTGCAGCTACTCAGCTCAGCCATTGCAGCACAGAAGCAGTTATATACAACACTTAAATGATGAGCATAGATGTATTCTAAATAAGTGCAACTTTATCTATAGGCACTGTAATTTAAATTTAGTATAATTTTCACATGTCACCATTATCCACCCCCCCCAACCATTTAAAATGTAAGAATCACTCATATCTCATGAGCTATATAAAAACAAGTGGCTATATGAGCCATTGTTAGCTGCTTCCCTAGTTCAAGAGAAGACTCATACTTTAATTCAAAACAGAAATAAGGGCTTATACCAGGTGATTAAGGAATGAGGCTAAATTAACTTAAGAAAACTAAATTTATTTTGAATTAAGTGATTTATAAACAACCACAAAATGGTCATTATAGAATATCCTCTTGTAGAAATCTTTATGATTTGGGGTACTTTTACTTTAGTAGAATTAAGTTAATCACATTTTATTTAGCATGATCATTATTTTGAGAAATATGGTATTTATATATTTCCAACTTTTTGATTACTTAATTACGCAGAACTAACAGTCAGCAAGGTTGGAAATGTGCAATTTCAAGGGACCAGAGGATTCTAGGATGGAAGTTAGAACATGTGAGAAAAGGCATGTAAAGCCAGAGGAGAAGTGGTGATCTGAGGAAATAGCTAATATTTGAGATCCGAAAGCTCTGATATGGATGAAGAGCAGCTTTAGGAGAAGTAAGCAAAAGTGAAGTGGAAAGATGGGGCTGTCAAAAAAGAGATTTCAGAGTTCAAAGGTGATAGGTCATTTTCTCCCCCAGCTTTATTGAGATAAAATTGACATATGTAACATTATGTAAGTTTAATCTGTATAGCATATTGATTTGATACATTTATGTATTGCCAAATGATTACCAAAGTGATAGATAATTTTGGACAGCTATAACCCAAAACTCTGCTTTTGGGGTCATCTCATCTGACTTTTTTTTTTTTTTAAGTAGATATTTGATGTTGGGTTAGTTAGATCTGTCTGATTCTTAGTGTTTTGTGGAAAGAGCATGGTGTTTTATAATTATACCACCTCCATTTGAAACCCAGTTCTGTTGTTTATTAGCTGTGTTATTTTGGGTAAGCCATGTTTCACTGTGCTTTGATTTCCTCATCCACTGATGGGATATTAAATATTCCCCTCCTAGATTTGTTGTGAGGACTAAATGAAATAATTATTTCCAAATGTGAATAAGGTTTGAGGACAGGGTTGGGAGTGTCAGCAGCTCAGATCTCAAAGTTGCTGACCGTGGCTGTGGGGCATGCAGCTCAAACAGCTTTGAATCTGGTGCTTAAGACTTTGGAGAGGGTGGGAGGCCACCTTAGAGTTCTGCAGATGCCTGTGATGAGAAGACAGGGTTCTGTAAATACCTGGGGTGTAATAATGGAAGATACTATCATAATGTCTGAAATGATTGGGAACCTCTAAGTTTAATAATGTTGTAAATTCCTATATTAAAAAAAATTTTTTTTTCATGTCTTCTTCGCTTTTTTCAGCAACAACCTCCATAGTCAGGTGAAGGAAAGTTCTGAGTGTTATAGTGAATGATATTAAGTGATGCAATAAATATAAGCATAAAATTAATGCCTCTATTTACCCTTTCCTAGTCTTTTGAGTAGCACTTTTAGCAATATTATTAATCTCTATCAAATTATGGTTATGATTATCGAAGTATATTAGATTTCAGAAGTTTGTCTCAATTGTTACTTCCTTTATCTACTTAGGAAGCTAAGGCTCAGGTACATGTAATTGATGGCTCCCACTTTGCTTCTGTATTTGGTTCACCTTATGGTCCTCTTCCTCCAACTTCCTTATGTTGACTTTCCTATCTCTTCACCTCAGATCCGTATCTGCTGCCCATGATGATTACATATGCTTTGACTTTTCTCTTGCTTACCTGGATTCTCACCTGCTGACTTCTGTAACTGCTGCTCCTCCCTCTGTCTGGGCACTCTTCTGGTGGCTTCCGTGCCTACTCATAGGGCCAGCTGACCCTGGATTTCTGTTACTCTGCCCATTAATTTACTGGTAAGATTCATGCAGGTCTTTAAAGACTTTTATTTAGTTAGTTTTATATAACTGCTTATTTTTAACAAAATTATAATCATGTCTTAAATGACAAATTATATGTGAAACTGAAATCTGTATGGTACAGTTGATTGAGAAAAATAGGATCAGAAGGTATCAAGAAATAACTTAGAATAAAAATTAAGAAGAAAGTCAAGAGTTACAGATTTTTTAAGAATGGTTAAGTGACAGAATATTAGGGATTTCTTTGGTTGAGAGTATGACAGTTGTCCCCCATTTCTCCCCTTTGCCCCCCCCTCCACCCGGCTCCCATCTCACCCAAGGCCTTTTACTCACCATTGTCTGTGTTTATGGGCTACGGAGATTTTTTGTTTGTCTGTTTCTTTGGATTCTAGGGTTCTGTTTAATCTGGTTTATGTTTCTGTGAGTGCTGTGTTGTAGTTACCCTTCGTTGTTTCCATAGCTTATAAGGTTAATGTGCACTTATCATAAAACAATGCCAGTTAGATTATGAAATTTCTGTTTTTTTTTGCTTTATAATGAACCATTGTAATAATATTGATAAGCTCTGTTTGAATCAGCATTATTGTGTCATTGGCATAAAGCATAGTAACTATTACAATGAACATAACTGTGCTTTTAAAATTTCAGGGTAAAAAAGAAACTTGTGAGTTTTAAAATATTAGTAATAAAATTAAAAAATTTAAAATGCCCATCCTGCCCTAGCTGGTTTGGCTCAGTGGATAGAGCGTCAGCCTGCAGACTGAAGGGTCCTGGGTTCAATTCTGATCAAGGGCACATGCCCAAGGTTGCAAGCTTGATCCCCAGGAGGCAGCCAATCAATGATTCTCTCTCATCATTGATGTTTCCATCTCTCTCCTCTCTTCTTCTCTGAAATCAATAAAAATATATTAAAAAAAAATGCACAACCTTCCCAGGTTAGTCTTTTACAACTTTTTTCTTCTTTTGGCAATATTATGGGGATGCTGGGGTACATTAGATTAATTTCTCTCTTAACTATTGGACACAGTGATCCCTTAGCCCACTGATTCAGATGTTATTCTTTCACCTGGCAAGAGGGAAGAATACTCATGCTGTTATCACATAACTAGAGTCCTGATGCATGAAATTTGTGCACCAGGGAGGTGAGGTTCCCTCAGCCTGGCCTGTGCCCTCTTGCAGTCCAGGAGCCCTTGAGGAATGTCTGACTGATGGCTTAGGCCTGCTCCCCCTGTGAGTATCTGCCCCTTGGTGGTCAGGGTGCATCATAGCGAACAGTCATTCTGTCATTTGGTCGGTTTGCATATTAGCCTTTTATGCCTGTGGGATCAGGCCAAAACCAGTTCTCTGACATTCCCCAAGGGGTCCCGGATTATGAGAGGATGCAGGCCAGTTCGAGGGACCCCACCAGTGCACGATCAGGGCCTGCAAGAGACACGGGAAGTTGGCCACCTGGGGAGGGACTGTGGGAAGGCTCCAGGGCATGTCCAGCATGTCTTGCTCAGTCCCGATCAGCCAGACCCCAGCAGCAAGCTAATCTACCAGTTGGAGGGTCTGCCCCCTGGTGATCGGTGCACATCATAGTGAGTGGTTCAGCAGCCTTAGCATATCATTAGCATATTATGCTTTTATTGGTTAAACAGACGAACAGATGACCCGACACTTAGCATATTAGGCTTTTATTATATAGGATAGCAGCAGCCCCTGCTATTCCTATCCTATTATTCCAAGGAAGGATTTGTGACACCTGAAGCTAATTATGGCCTTCATTTTGCTCCATTCCTTATCTCCATGGAGGAGCTTGTCCAGCCTTTATAGGGTTGTCATTTGTGCTGTTTTCTGGAGTTCCTATTCCTAAAATTCCTTCAGAAATTCTCAGTGCTCTCTTAGGGAGTCTCAAGCCTCGTTTTGAGGCTGAAGTATTGTATCCAGGTAAGATAGATTTAAGAATAATCAATTTGAAATTTCTCTTTGACTCATAAGTTCTCCTCACCTAAAATATATAAGTGGAAAATGATGCTATAAAAATCATTCTTATTGGCTCTCCAAATGGTAAACACACCTGTCTTTTATTAAGTGTCAATTTTCTTAGCTAAGGTTGTATGAAGTCTTGAGTCATGGCATTTGTAACGAAGGTTTAAAAAATATAGCCAGTAGAAAAAGCTCAAGCTCTGTTCTTATGTAATGGGCTTCATGTTGAAATGATTTAATAATCATTTATGGAGGGACTCTTCTCTGCAGGCATTGTGCTAGTTACAGGGCATGCAATGGTGAATAAGACCATCTCCATTCCTTTGCAGGGCTGTCATTTGTGCAGTTTTCTGGAGTTCCTGTTCCTATTATATATTGTGTGTTATGCCTCAAGAATATGAAAAGTAATCTTACAAAGTTCTATTTTATATTAAGCAATATCCTTATTTTTCTTCCAGAGAATTAAAGAGGGCAGCATAATTGACTCAGTTAAAACAATCTGTGTGGGAGATCACATTGAATCCATAAATGGAGAAAATATTGTTGGGTGGCGTCATTTCGATGTTGCTAAGAAGTTAAAGGAATTAAAAACAGAGGAACTCTTTACCATGAAGTTAATAGAACCTAAGAAGGCATTTGGTAAGTTGGTTTTATGTGTGTGTGAATATTCCTTACCTCTGACATCTTTCTTTTTTTAAAATCACTTTATTACCACTATTTATATCCTACTTATACTTCTCTCTTTGTGCTGAATTGTTTTTTCTTTTTTACATTTTCTATTTATAAGTGTTTTCAATTACCGTTCATATTTAATATTATTTTGTATTAGTTTCAGATGTACAGTATAATGGGTAGATACTTGTCCCCCCACCCTGAAATTTTCAGTTTCCCTAGACTTCACTGTCTAAGGGAAATGAGTACTTGTGGTGTGATGCCACGTGCTTCTGGGGTATCATTTAAGAGCATAGGAAATAATAGATAGTACTGCTTACAATTGAAGGGCAAAAAAACGGCCTAGAAGGACATTTTCTAAAAAAGGCGTTTGGAGTTACCAAGTCTTTGAGTTTGATGTGATTGTTTCAAGCCAAGAACAGCACCTTGTGTGGTATTCATCTTCCTAAGCAGTTCGATTTAAAAAATATATATATTTTATTGATTTTTTACAGAGAGGAAGGGAGAGAGATAGAAACATTGATGAGAGAGATTCATCAATCAGCTGTCTCTTGCACGCCCCCTACTGGGGTTGTGCCCGCAACCAAGGTACATGCCCTTGACCGGAATTGAACCCGGGACCCTTCAGTCTGCAGGCTGATGCTCTATCCACTGAGCCAAACCGGTTTCGGCAGCAGTTCGATTTTTATGAAGCTCTCTAAACTATATTAACTATCATTCCTGGACCGCAACAGCAAAAACTTCAGTTACACACAGAAGTGGCATTTAAAATAGCTGTCTGGTCTATTTTAAAGACTTCCTTCAATACTTTCCCTCCTTTGGCATTCTGAATTGGCAGGGTGGGATGGTATGAAATTACTTTGGGGTGACATCTGTACTTGCTTGGTTTTAGCCATGGCAGCTGTGCTCCAGCACTTGTGCAAACCCCCAGGGCCACCTCATCCCCAGGAAGAGGTGCCAGCTCCTCTCAGTACCCACCACTATTTTAATAAGCCAAATGACGGCCGAGTGTTCATCAGGGTGGAAATATCTTCAGAATTATTCTGGGCCTGCCCTTCCTCATCCATGACCCCACCCACTTGATGCTCTTCCCTTTGCTCAGAGAACAGAAATATTCCTTGTGGCTTCACTAATGGCTCTTTCCACAGGGCAGTTAATGACCCTGATGGGAGGATGCAGTGGTTCTGGGGAATTACACTTCTTCCTTGAGCAAGAAAGTGGCAGGTCCTAGCCATATGGAATTGGAAAATGTTTTCTGCTTCCGTGTGGTTCTGTGTCATTTAATAGAAATGCAGTATAGGTCACATTACAGATGGAGATCCAAGAAGATGTAAGGAAAGAATGCTTTCTGCCAGTGCTGCTCTGGAGGGACCGCTCTGGAAACCACGGCCATGGATATGGTGATGCTGCGTGGTGCATTGCAGCATCTGAGCTTGCTTCTCACAGAGGAAGGGGGGCCAGCACTTGGATTTCTATCCAGCAGCTCCTTTCGAAAGGGCTTTGCTTGGTAACCAACTTCCCAGGTGTCAGAATATATAAATTGATAGCACGTAGACAGGTTGAGAGAAATAGTATTTGATTGATTTATTATTAAAAAAATTTTTTTTTTTATTTCAGAGAAGAAGGGAGAGGGAGAGATAGAAACATCAATGATGAGAGAGAATTATTGTTCAACTGCCTCCTGCATGCCCCACACTGGGGATTGAGTACATAACCCAGGCATATGCCATGACCAGGAATCAAACCATGACCTGGTTTATAGGTCGACGCTCAACCATTGAGCCATGCTGTATGGGCAGAGATAGTATTTGAGTTAGACTCTATAAATCAAAATCACTCTCATAGTACAGCCCAAGGATTATAATTTTCTTTCTACCAAGAATATAATTTATCTCTGTCTCATAATCTTGTTTTCCAGAGTCAACGTTTTCCCATTTTTTCTTTGTTGCCTCATAAGAATTCCATGAATAGATTTGAGAAGAACACTGGGTACAATTTTCCTAAAGAAGATATATTATTTCAGCATCCCAAATTCTGGTGATGCTGTGGGTTAGGATACCTGCAGGGTGATATGGGAGCACTGACAGATTTTTATTTTCCAAGGATTCTATGGCAGTTTATTTTGACACAACATAAGTCTGCTGGTTTACATGCATTTTCCACTCTGTGGGTTGGTCCTCGCCTCTGGGCGCCAGCCTGGGGACTTTTCTCTTAGATGTAGGCCTTACTGCCGTGCCATTCTTTAGCCTTTAATTTTACAGTTTATCTTTTTGCCTCTGAGATAAAGGCAACACTACACCTTTGTTCCACATCCTCTGGCTTCATCCCAGCACGTCACTCTTTGCCAGGGAGAGTGTATACTGGCATATACATCTGGAGGTACTTGGGTGACTAGGCTTCCCCCAATTCTCTTGGTCCTAATCTTACTTTTTGCTATGTTTTCTTCCTTCCTTTGTCTTTCTAGCATTATCCTGGATGCATTGACTCAAATTTCATATTTTGTTTTTATTTTAAATGATTATTTGACTCTCTGCCATCTTGGATTTCTACCAGGAGAAAGGGCCAGTCTAGGTGAGGTAGAATTTTTCTCTTCTGATTCAAATAGGCCATATTGGCTGAAGCTAAGTCCTTTCTGGGATTTTACCCAAAGCTGACAGAAATGGCCAAACACTCCAGTGTTTTCCTATCAATTTCTTTAGAGAATTAGTCTCAGAAGCATGTGGACTGTGTGTGTCCCAAAATACAGGAGGGAGTAGTGTAGTTAGCTGCCTTGTAATGGAGCAACATGGATGATGAACACAACTCAGCTATGAAGAGGGGCCTCCTCCCTACCTGCTCCCATTTCCATAGTTAGGTTTACCACTAGTCATATCTAACTTCTAGGGGCCATTATATGTGTCAAGATTTTTTGAGGACTATAGAATAAGCACTATCTAACTTAAGGAAATATGTTTTTCTCCAAAGTTTAACAGGTAGATCTCAGAAACAAAGACTGTTGATCAAGCTGTGGGAAGCTTAGGAACCAAGGTTGTTTCAGGGATATCTGAACCAGAGACCCATCATTGTACCTGCTTAATTGATCCCTTCCAATTATTTTCTGCCTTCATGTCCCTCTGCTCATGATTCAAATTCCTGGGATAGAGGAGGTCACATGCCCATCTTGATAGTGGGAAGGCAAGTTACATGATTGACAGGCTCACCAAAATCACACAGTACAGTGAAGGGGAAGTTTCCTTTTGGCTAGGAAAAAGGCACATGCTCACATTACCATTTCTCCCAAGCTGTTACCTTTTGGCAGAGCAGTGTTAATTTTCTCTTGCCTTTGAATCTGACTCCACTCATACATGGTATAATCAGTTTGGGTGTATCAGAATGAATCTGGAGGGATGAGCTGACTTTGGGTGACTGGTCTTAAAGGTTTTTCTGCTAGGTGTTGGGTACTATAAAAATGGCTGTCTGACAATGGGCTATCTAGAGACCTTGATAGCATCAAAGCATTTTTTCAAGGGAAAGGGAAATCCATATTCTTCTTTGTATTGGCCACCAGATTTAGAAGAGGCTGTGCCCTACAGATATGGACTATACATCTGGGAAGGTCCTTCATTTATGTATCACACAAATAATTTGAGAAGCTGCTTTAGGTACTCTGCTAGTCATAACAGATGCTAAGAAAGAAGACTAACTTATAGATTTTGTCTTTTGAGGGCCTCACAGGAGGCTGTTATATACTGAATTGTGTCCCCCTAAAATCCCCGTGTTAAAATCCCAATTTCCAGTACCTCAGAATGTGGCTGTATTTAGAGATAGGGTCTCTAAAGATGTAATTAAGTTGAACTGAGGTCTTTAGGGTGAGCCCTGATCAAATGGACTGATGTACTTATATGAAGAGGAAATTTGAACCTGGAGACATAGAGGAAGAAAGCCAGGTGAACATGAAGATAGTCATCTGCAAGCCAAGGAGAGAGGTCTCAGAAGAAAGAAACTCTGGTGACACCTTGATCTTGTTGTTTAATCCAGGTGTTATTTTGTTGTGGCAGTCCTAAGAAAGTAATACAGAGGTCAGTAAGCAAAAAAAGCAGTTATGGTGCAATTTCTTGGACTATGACAGTAGATCATGGGCTCTCTATCCATCTGAGAGGTACAGGTTGGTAGCTTTGCAGTCCTTTGGCTTTGGTAGATGGGAAGAACATACTACTGATATATTTTCATTCAATAGATATTTGAGTAGTTAGTATATGCTGGTTTTAGGGTGCTAGTTGTTGGGATAATAGTCACTGTTGCTGAGAGCCTACTCTATTCCATTGCCATACTACATGCTTGGTATATTCATGAATAAGCTCCAGTTCTTGCCTACAGGAAGTTCCTGGCTAGTGGGATGAGATGGATATAAAAAGAAATAAATTCAATGAAGCTCTTAGAAGTGCTGAAATGTATTGGAGATATAAAAGTGGAGATATCAAGTCTACCTTAGGAGTTTAGGAAGTACTTTCTGGAGAAGGGATTTGAGCTGAATCTCTTATTTTTAAATATATTTTATTGATTATTTTACAGAGAGGAAGGGACCAGCTGCCTCCTGCTCACCCCCTACCGGGGATGTGCCCGCAACCAAGGTACATGCCCTTGACCATAATTGAACCTGGGACCCTTCAGTCTGCAAACTGATGTTCTATCCACTGTTAGGGCTGAGCTGAATCCTAAGAGAGTCTTGCTCAATGAACAAATTAAGGAAGGTTGTCCTAGGGGGTAGGAACCAAATAAGCAAATATGCAAAGGTATGGAGAAGTATTATATATCTGGGAATATAATATATAATATTTGGCCATTCGGTCAATTTGCATATTATGCTTTTATTATTGTAGATAAAGAGAGTAGGTAATGGAAAACTAGTGAAGGGTTTTAGGTAGGAGAGTACCATGATGAGACTTGCATTTTAGTAATACTTTGAAGACTGTGTCAGACAGTGAGGT